GGCATGTGGGATCTTCCCAGACCGGGGCACGAACCCGTGTCCCCTGCATCGGCAGGTGGACTCTCAACCACTGTGCCACCAGGGAAGCCCTCTTGTCTTTTTGATAATAGCCATTCTGACAGGTGTGAGGTTAGGTATCTCACTGTGGTTTTAATTTGCATTTCCCTGATGACTAGTGATGTTGAGCATCTTTTCATGTACCTGTTGGCCATCTCTATGTCTTGAGTCCTGGCTTTTGAAACTTAGCTGTCCCAGCCTCCCTACTGAATAGACATACGTCATCTTCCCAGAGGAACAGAGCATCTCTGAGAACTTTCGGGGGCACATCTATGTGTGTGTGTATGTGTGAAGCGACTGATGAGAGACAGAGAGGCAGAGTGTATGAAACAAAAATTAACAGAAAAGGAAATATTGGGTTGACATTTGGTAAATTAGTTTAGAATCCTAATACTAAAAACCATCCATTGGGTGTTCTAGAAAGACTTCCTGCATAATGACAGAATTGAAGCTGTTACAAACCTCTTCGAGAATGCCCACATAGAAAATGAAACATTCCCCTAATGATGCCATGTACTTTTCTGTATTTATTATTAGAGCAACTGTGATGAAGAAAATACCATGTACTCATGTGATATCAGCAAAATCATGTGATTTGTACTCATGTGATATTAGCAAAAGGGCTGACTGATTTGGCATAGATTATTGTTCTCTGTGCAACAAATTCAAACTAACCCTTAAAGAGCAGTACAATGTTTAGCGATTAAAGAGGTCCAGGATGTGATGATCCATGAAAGAATAGCACTCAAATGTTAGTTCTCTGTCTGGATTTTTCTCCTTTTTTTTCCCCCCATTTAGAGCTAAAGAGCAGCCCAGAATTTGAGGCACATTCTGTTGTGTGTACATGCTTGTAGCATTCCCATTCACTAGAGGGGAAAGAGTGTACCCAAGGTGACAGAACAAACTAGCACGGCGGCCGGGTGTCTTCATTCCAGGATAGCTAAACACATGAAGTCAAACCATGGGACCACATGTTGGCATATAGAGTAATGGAAAGTATGAAAAGTTGTCATTGTCAATATGGTTAATAATTTGGGGCACAAGTGGCCTACCCTAGCTACAGTTCTCCACTTGTTTTTTGTTTTTGTTTTTAACATCTTTATTGGAGTATAATTGCTTTACAATGGTGTGTTAGTTTCTGCTTTATAACAAAGTGAATCAGTTATACATATGTCCCCATATCTCTTCCCTCTTGCATCTCCCTCCCTCCCACCCTCCCTATCCCACCCCTCTAGGTGGTCACAAAGCACTGAGCTCATCTCCCTGTGCTATGTGGCTGCTTCCCACTAGCTATCTATTTTATATTTGGTAGTGTATTTATGTCCATGCCACTCTCTCACTTCGTCCCAGCTTCCCCTTCCCCTTCCCCGTATCCTCAAGTCCATTCTCTATGTCTGTGCCCCTATTCCTGTCCTGCCCCTAGGTTCTTCAGCACCTTTTTTTTTTTAGATTCCATATATATGTGTTAGCATATGGTATTTATTTTTGTCTTTCTGACTTACTTCACTCTATATGACAGACTCTAGGTCCATCCACCTCACTTCAAATAACTCAATTTTGTTTCTTTTTATGGCTGAGTAATATTCCGTTGTATGTATGTGCCACATCTTCTTTATTCATTCATCTGTTGATGGGCACTTAGGTTGCTTCCATGTCCTGGCTATGTAAATAGAGCTGCAATGAACATTGTGGTACATGACTCTTTTTGAATTACGGTTTTCTCAGGGTATATGCCCAGTAGTGGGATTGCTGGGTCGTATGGTAGTTCTATTTGGAGTTTTTTAAGGAACCTCCATTCCACTTGGTTTTCCCATTGGAAATGGTCATCCATCATGCCTCTGTCATATCCCTGTGGAGATTCTGGTACTGTAGTGCGATGCTGCTATAACCAAGACCTAAAATGTGGAAATGGCTTTGACCAGAGGTTGGAAGAAGTTTGAGAAGCATGATAGGAAAAGCCTAGATTGCCTTGAAAAGACTGTTCGTAGGAATACAGTCGTGCCAGTGAAGGCACATTTCAGTTTAACCCGTGAGTGACACACCTCAGCTAAACGAGGCTTCTACGGCACATGTGGATGACATTTATTCAAAACGGTTCTCAGCCCTGATTCCACCACCCCTTCTATGCAGATTGGTTATAATCAGACGGTGCAGATGAAAAGGTGATCCTACTGGATATTCATTTTCCCCCATGTGTTCACTTGGACAATGGGTGCTTGGAAAATTCGGAAACATGTAGCTGGCTCCTTTGAAAAGTTCTTCGGTGAAATTGACTGGCTTAGGACTGGGACGGTGTGCTGGGGAGGGAGGTGAGGACAAGGGCTACAGGTCACTTCTCCCCTCAATCCTTTAAGGATTCCATGGCAATGAGTACGTGTTCTCTCCAGGTACAAGCACAAGTCCTGGAGGAAAATGCTGGCATTTGTTTTTCTTTTAAACAACTGCAAGTAGCTTGAAGAAAGTCGCTGCAGTGGTTGTTGTTTTCCTTATTGGTCTCCTAGGCTCAATACAACACAAGGATTGGATATACACTCACAGAGAGTGTGACGATGTGAGACTGACTGGGCGCCACAGAGCAGTGGGCTCAGACTGTGGTGGGAGCCCAATCCAGCATGTTCCCAGGCCTGGCCTAAAACCACAGATGGTTCTGGCACTGCCAAAGGCCTGAGGACCACTGTTCTCTGGCAGGGTTAGTATGTGCTCTGTGAAACTATGGCTTCATGGCCAAATAAGTTTGTTCATCCCAGCAGCTCCCAAAGTTAAGCAGCCTTCCTTAACAGAAGACTTTCTAGAATTCAATGTGCTAATGCTCATTTTCAATCCTGAAAGAGAGTGTGCGGGCCAGTGGTTCTCAAAGTGTGGTTCCCCAGGACCAGAGGCCTCAGCATCACCTGGAAACGTAAACATCCAAACACTTGAGCCCACCCCAGACCTACTGAATTGGAAACGCTGGAGGTGGAGTCCACCAATCTGTGTCTTACAAGCCCTCCAGGTGTTTCTGATGTGGACAAAAGTCTGAGCCAATAGTCCTTGTGGTGTTTTTCCAAAAATATTTCATCAAACATGTGGCAGGGCTAATATTTTCAACCATGAGAAATGATACTGAAGTGTGTGTGTGTGTGTGTCTGTGTGTGTGTGTGTGTAATGAAGACGTGTGAAAGTATCACTGTTTGTAGGGAGGTATTTTGGAGGACGATTTAATCATTGATTTATTTAAACACCACCTTCTGTTAAAAACAACTTGCGGCAGCTCGTTGAGAATGTTGTGACTAAAGGATTATTCCTGGGCATTTTAGCCCCTTCTTATTTATGCCAGGCCGCCGCAAGACACCAAGGTTCTGACTTGTTTATGACTAGCAGACCTATGCTATTCCTGAACAATGAAAAAGCAAGAGCCACAAGCAAACTAATCAATAACCAAACCTTAAAGCCCTTGGAGCAAGAGTGAGACAATAGGGCTTCCCTGATGGCGCAGTGGTTGAGAGTCCGCCTGCTGATGCAGGGGACACGGGTTCGTGCCCCGGTCCGGGAAGATCCCACATGCCGCAGAGCGGCTGGGCCCGTGAGCCATGGCTGCTGAGCCTGCACGTCCAGAGCCTTGCTCCGCAACGGGAGAGGCCACAACAGTGAGAGGCCCGCGTAGAGAGTGAGACAATGCACTACTTTTCTCTACGGACTGAAAATAAGTGAGACTGAATAGGGCGCAGGGTTGAGCAAGTCTACTTATGGTATATGGTACCCAGGCTCCTGTCCAAGCTGGGCAGGCAGGCTCTTTCATGCAAGCTGGACCTTAGAGCTCTGGCAGGATGAAGGCTTAAGACGGGATCACAAGGTGACTGAGCTGAGCTGGGCTGGACTAGGAGATCCTGCTGAACCTGACCCAGACATCTTAGGAATGGGCAGCCTCCCCACCGTGCAAAAGCATGCTGCTTGGGGCCTGGGTAACTTTATCTGATGGATGCCCTGAAAAGTGCCAGTCAATTATGTTTCACCTGTTCCTCCACTCTTACCTACATCGACTACTCTGAAAGCATCATAACCAGGCAATGGCAGCTTTGGGGAGCTAGTGAAAAGTCATCAACATTGAAAATGTTTATGGTTACACAAATGTATGCCTTTGTCAACTCAACAAACATACACTAAAGATACGCGCACTTCATTGTAAGTTTTATATTAAGAGAAAAAACTGCAGGCACTTCCCTGGTGGTCTAGTGGTTAAGACTCTGCACTTCCAATGCAGGGGGCGCGGGTTCGATCCCTGGTCAGGGAGTAAGATTCCCCATGCTGCGCGGTGCGGCCAAAAGATTAAAAATAAAAATAAGAAAAAACTGCAACGAACATTGAACTCTAGTTACAGATATACATAAGGAATTAGGAGGAAGTGTACATATGTCTGCAATTTATTTTGAAATATGTCAAACATAAGATGGATTGATAAATTGATGGACGGATAGATGTATAGTATAGTAATATGTTAATGGTGGAAGACAGGTGTAGGTTTACCAACGTTCACTATGAAAATCTTTCAATTTTAATATATGTTCTGAAATTTTAGTGAAAAAAGAAAATGTTTATGTTTTCCTTCAGTTCTCGGAGGTGGAAAGGACTTGAGATATTTAGTCCCGTTCCTTCCCTCTACTGAGAGAAATGAGAAACAGAGAGGGGAAATGACAGAGTGAATGGCAGGGAGGGTACTAGAACATAGGTGTCTTTTGTACAATGCATCACTGAATGGGAATGAGAATTCTTCTGTTCCAATCTGAAGTTCAAGTACAACAACTAGTACAATAACTACACTTTCAAGAGTGTTCGTGTTAATATAAATCTCTAGACTGTAGATTATCTGAGGGCAGTGACCTGATGTACATAATTCAGTGTGTAACTCCAGTTTCTACCACAGTTCACGGCACATAATGGACGCTCGATAAATACACGTTGGAGGATTTTTCTTTGAATGAATAGAAAGAGTTTATTCAGTGCGTATCTGGGTATACAACAACAAATATTAAACAACTTTTTTTAAACTTTTTTGTGCACAGGACAGAAAACTGCCTGTACATGCTATGTCCACTTTTGGAACACAGATTTTAACAATTATTAATGCACAAAATCTTACATATCATGCAACTCTATGCCAAGATTCCAACTTTCTTCCATGCAACAGATATGAAGATCTAAATGGAAACCTAGCTAAGTCTTAAACACTTTTCCAGAAGCAGGTATAAGTATATGTTGTTTAGGGGTAACCAGTCTTTTAACATTTCCTTGTACACAATATTCACGCGCCAAATACAATGACAGGAGGACTTATACATACACAGATAAGACATTTCTTATTTTAACAACACGAAAGACAACATCACAGTTCCACAGTTCCTGTCTTTACACAAGAAGCCACAATAGTAGTTTAACATGATAACACAAATGGAATTAAGAGAAATCTATACTTGAGGATAATCTTTTTTTTTTTAAGTAATCTTTACTGACTGGGGTTGACAACACAACACAATTTCTACGCACAAAGTACAGCACAAGAACTCGATCAGAATACTACGAATGTAAAGGAAAAAAAAAATTTGGTAAAATCACAAGAACACTGTTACCTTGAGCCTGAGATGCCAATTCAGCTTCAACCCTGAATTTGGTTGAGTTGGATTAAGTGACACAGAGTCAATAGAACCATTGAATTCCAGAAATCATAAAGTTGCGCTATGCCAAAGGAAAGAATACATACGAATCAAGCATAGATAGAAAACAACACGGTTCACAGAATTTTGTTTGCCCCTACAAAACATTGAAGCAGTTAATTTTGTTTTGTTTTGTTGTTTGCTTTTGAAGAACAATGGTGGTCTTTTCAATTTTCTTGGTTGGAGAGCAATTTTTTTAATCAGCATTAGTGCTGTGAAATGTTTTTGGTTTGTCTTCCCCAAAGCATAGGTGAGATCATGAGAAAATTGGGCAGTCCTTCTCCCGGATTTAATTCACTGATCATGCTTGGCACTCTTTTTTCGCACAAGCTCGTTCTAAATTATGGGGCGTTTGTATGGATGAGAAGAAGGTTTGACGGCAGATTAGAGTAGTGAACTCTGCCTTGTTTGTTTGGTAAACATCATGGACAAATCTGAACTTTTGGGTGAAGGACTGCTAGAATTAACAGCACCTGGAGGTAAGGTTCTGTTACAGAGCCCTTGTTTTGCCCTCACTGGCTACGTTGATTCATTGTGGCTCATGGATTTGCCTCCATTCAGTACGCCGGAGACACTTCTGCTCTTGGTTGGGGTCCCGCTTCCAGATCGGGAGAACTCCGTGAGGTCGTGCAGAGACGGCTCCTTGTACATGGCCACTGCAAAGCACAGAGACACGGCATCAAAGGCCACCGCACTGGCCCTCAACTTCCCTTCTGCCCACTAGGCTTCCAGGCTGGAGGCCAAACCTGAAAAATGCCGCTTTCAAGAACTCAGTAGAGAGCGGACTGGACCAGATGAAGCAAAATCCAGTCTTGGTACAGAAGTGTGTAGAGAATTCTAATGCCTCATCTCTATCACTGATGGTTTTAGATATATGAGAGGATTAATGAAAAATGCATTTAATAAAGCTCTTAGAAGTTTAAACATTTTCAAACACTGATTTCTCTCAGACTTTAAAATGAAACTCTCCCAGACTCTAAGTATTAGCACAGTTCTTAATGCAATAAATGGTAAATATTATTGTTGTGCTGTAAATAACAGCCCTGGCTTACGCTTATGGAGCACTTAGAACGTGCCAGATACTGTTGTAAGTGCTTCACGTGTGTCATCTCATTTAATCCACATGCAAATCCCACGAGGCAGGTGTTTTTCTCCATATTTTACAGAAGGAACTTGAGCTCAATAATCTGCCCAAGACTACCTGCTTACTAAAGGCGGAAGCTGGGCTTCGGACCCAAGTAATCTGGCTGCAGAAAATGTGCTGTCAAAGGGCGCTGGGTTGATTTGACTGGATGTCTGCCCCTCCTGTAAACCGCTCTTCTCTGCCTGGATTTCCTACCGCTTCTCCACCACATCTCACTCCTTCTAACATCCCTACTTCCTGCAGCCCATTCCTATCCCTCACCCTTTCTCATTTGCTACTAAGCTGCTAGTAATGACCAAAAAACAAAACTATGAATGAATGAAAATTGTTGGGGCAATACTGTTGGGCCCTTAGAGAGACAGGCCCAAGGAGCTTTCTGATAAGTGTTAAGTATGCACACATTTTGGCACCTGTGTTCCTGTCCAGGGATCATTTGGGCATAATTTGGGGTTCTTGGCTGTCCTGAGTTAGCAATTAAGCTATTTCCACATAAGAAAGGTGTTACCACGTGCAGATATACTATGGAAAAGTTAAAATCAGGAGATTAGATGCTATTGTCAATGCTTTAGTGTTTTTTTAAGTGTAAAATGTTACTGAAGTTTTGTATAAATGCCTTAGTATGGAAGAATTACATTCCACTTTCGAAAGCGTGAAAAAGGATTGATTTCAATACCGATACTCATTGAATCCAGAGCTGGTATAATATCAAGTTTACCTTTCAGTGGTTTGGGCAGAAAGTGAGCTGCAGGCTTGTTCTTCTTCACATGGTTTCCTTTCATGATCTCTCCTTCTTTGTTCAGACCCAGATACCACCCTCGGCCTGACTGCTGCTGACGGTATATCATTGATGAATATGTCACATAATAATTTTCAAACACCGATTCTTTGAATTTGCACTCAGGTGTGAAATGTTCCTACAAGAGAAGTAAATAAACAAAAGCTCAATATTTATAGCTATGAATTTCATGGAGAACCATATGGTATTATCCTTCAGGAGTTCAGGACATACTTTGTTAGAGCTTGTTATGACTGGGGTTCTATTTTAATAGCAGAAACTATTATCATTGGAAACTAAAACTATATATAACATTTCACGTGATGCTTTAGAAAAGGCCCTAAGTGCAAGTGCTACTGATCAATGATTAGCTCTCTTTGTAATAAGGTAATGGAAAAACTAGAACCAGCCACCTAAGTGTAATGTATTGGAAAAATACAGGAGCCAAAGATTGAAAAGACAAGCATAAAACTGTCACATGGAGCTTTGTTCCCTTCCGGATTAAATGAGAAAATAAACATCCGATCCCTGTACTTAATTTTCATAGATTATCCAGTTACTATGTACTATAATTTTCAATTGCCCCAGGCTGAAATCTGTGTTATACTGTTACAATGCTGGCCGCCTAGATTTCTAAAGAGATGCTACAAAGAAAGACTACCTTTTACTTTTAGATAAACCAAATTGATTTTTTTTTTCAGATCATTGGACCTTGACTTAAAAAGAAAAAAAAAATTCCCTCATCACCCCATCCTTGCCTTACAGTAACATTTCACACAAATCAATATAGAAACAAGGAATTTACAGTAATTCTACAAGCAGACATGAGAGAGCAGGCCAGGAGACTTTGAACCCGGCAACGTGGTTTCCTGCCATGTACGTGGCCATGTTTTCTTTGGACTTGCCCGTACAAAAGAAGGGTTCCTGACACAATAGACTGTTTTTGAAAACAAACAAAAAACCCCATAAAACCTTCTTTCAAGTTTTGTAATATGTGTATGTATGCAATAAACAGCTATTTAAAATATCCATTTATAAGCAAAGTGAAATGAACAGCAGATTTTAATCTCTAAGTAATCTATTGAGCAGCAGTGGGTCCACTTGGAGTAAAAGATGAGGAAAATGCGAAGTGAGCTACATGTGAAAGTGGCACTAAGGAAGCCATTCGATTTGCACTATTTTGCTGAGATATTATCAGGAATAAGTTTTTTTTTTTTTTTTTTTTTTGCGGTATGCGGGCCCCTCACTGCTGTGGCCTCTCCCGTTGCGGAGCACAGGCTCCGGACGCGCAGGCTCAGCGGCCATGGCTCACGGGCCCAGCCGCTCAGCGGCATGTGGGATCTTCCCGGACTGGGGCACGAACCCGTGTCCCCTGCATCGGCAGGCGGACTCTCAACCACTGCGCCACCAGGGAAGCCCAGGAATAAGTTTTGATGAAACCCTGAAAAAAACCCCACCTTGCAATAAAAATATTGCAAGCTTTCTGGACACCAGTCTTTTCTGAATGATGTCTCCATGGTCCTACCTTCCTTCATGTTAGATAGCATTCCAAGCAAAGCACACTATCTGAGCGACAGACAGTGATTTACTATCAGAGAATCACTTCAGCAAAGAGGGACAGATTCCTCAAATGAGGCAGCCTTTTTCTGAAAGTTAAATAATTGAACACTTTTTTCTGGAAATCCACAAAATCTGCTGCACTCAGTAATCTCACTGGTTCCCCCATCTGGCTTCCAGGGTGCACAGATCAGAGTCATCTTTTGGCATAATTTCAGCCTAGGGGCATACTTGATAGATCCTCAGAAGATTCACACAAATTCAACCTACTCAAGAAGCAATGTACTTCGAAGGCAACTATCATGTGGTAGGAACGAAAGTGTTCTATTTATGGGCTGTGAACGCTCCTCTTTGTAGAATTCTCAACGTAGGGAAAGCCAAGGTATGTCTACAAAGAAATCTGACTGAAATAGTCTCCATGTGTCCTCTAGGGATGAGGACAGTTGTATAGAATGTTGGTTTCGCCCTGCCTAGCGTAAAATGACAACCTAATGTGACATTTAAAATTCTCCACAATTCAGGGACATCCCTGGCGGTCCAGCGGTTAAGACTCCACGCTTCCAATGCAGGGGGGCGCAGGTTCGATACCTGGTCGGGGAACTAAGATCCCACATGCCGCGCAGTGTGGCCATAAATAAATGAATAAATAAATAAATAAATCTTCGCAACTCAGTCGCTACCTTGCCTTGTCTCCACCATAGAACCATGTGTGCCTTTGTGCCTTTACAGACGCCATTCATGTCATTTCTGTACCTCTCTACCTACTGGCTTTCCTCTCATTCCTCAAGGTCTAGCTCAAATATGACTGCCCCTGGAATCATATATGATCTCTCCCAATCAGAACCGATGACACTCATATTTGTGCTCCCGGAAACTCTATCTACATCTGCAGCATGGCCCCGTGACCCAGGCGTGTGCATTCCTTGCTCCAGAAGACAAGGAATTTGTCTTATTTCTGAATTCACCTTCCAGTCATAAAGGACTGGTCATACTGTCTAGCACATAGCAGACCACTTGGTTACTGCTTACAGGATCTGCATTGCAGAGATTCAGATTGAATTCGGAAATTCCAGGATTCAGAAGTATCAACCAGTAAAAAGTCTGCAGGGAATTTCCTGAATACCATAGAACGAAATCAGCTGTATATAGAAGGAGGTTGTCATTGCAGGGACAGATCCTGCATGTGTGACTTCGTAACTGTTCAGAATAACAGATACTACACAGATACCGGCACCTACAACATGAGGAGGAAAAACACTCGGCAATTGTTACAACTATTGGAAAATGGCAAGGAAGGACTCAATGAACTGAATGCTCTGTCACATCCTGGCAATTTCTTAGTCATCACCACTAAATTTGGACTCAAGAACTCAGTAGAGAGGGAGGAAAATGAGGCCAAAAAAAGAATGTTGAAGCAACCAAAGGAGTGCTCTGTTCTCTGTGTGTGATGCGGTCATTTTATCCAGCGCTGGAAGGAACGGCAGAAGAGGCTTGATTTTTATCAAATGTGGAAAGACGTGAACATCCCACCCAATACAGGAAGGGCCACCAAAGGGAAGAGGGGTGCAGCTGCCTCTCTGTCTCAGCAGTGGTTCACAGAAATAACAGAAATTGGATTGGACCCTAACCAGAGAAGCCCTGTTCAGAGAATACCAGGTAGATATCTGGCAAGGAATCAATCTCCTTTGACTGACCTGAAGCTGATTATTAGCGCTCTCGAAAAAGGTACCGTAGTGGCCTTGATACACAGTAGGCACTAAACAGAGGCAGCAGTCATTGTGCTCTGCATTTAATATGCATTAGATAAATACCTGTTATCATAATAAATGCATTAAAAAGATGTCAAGCATCCCTTGCACAGCCACTAAGAAATTATTTGGCATGAATACAAAAGAAAAGGCGCTTTGTATCTTCTAACCTTTTATGCATCGATTTCTCTTAAAAGTTGTTTACCTCTCTTGCATATCTATACTAATGTCAGAGGAATAATGTTAGTAATGTTCAGAGGAATAACTCTGAAAAAAATACAGATATTCAATCTCTCTAAAATCTCTTCTCTGTAACCATCATCTCTATTCCCCTTGAAGTTCAAGGTTAGTTTTTTTCTCAGTGAATATTGAACTTCTTATCCAAGGAATCCATACTAGTTAGCTACAGTGATCGTATTTCGGGTGACGAATGAAGAATCTACATTTGCAGAACGAGCAGATCCAGGAGCAAAACCTAATACCTCTCTCTCTTTTTTTTTTTTACCAATTTACTCACTATTAAGGGCAAAATAGTTCTTTGGAGGTTGAAATATCACTGACAAGAAGAAAACATTTGAAACCCTCAACGTCAGGTCAGTAGAGCATATAGGAGGATACTTACAGCTACAAATGGTGATGGTCAGCTGCCCTTATCAGGACATACCTCCACACAGACTCTGAGAGGCATTAACGCAATCAGTAACATTGGATATATGCAAAGAACCCCCAGATACAATGGTGTGCTACAAAGCATTTTGGTCCAGAACAAAGGCTCTGGACCTGGGTAAATTGCTATCCTCTTTAGGGTCAGAAGAAGCAACAGTGCCTTGAGTTGCCCCTGGCACCAAGGGCAAAGTATGGAGGAGATGCGTAATTCTCTGGCCTCCTGGAGCTGGAGCCAGTTCAGAAGAAGCATGGGCTGTGATGGTGGCTTCCTTGAAGGGAGCCAAGTAAGGGGCTCGTCACTCAGCAGGTGATGTGCAACTGTATCCTCAACAGCCATATCCCAAAAGGTGAGAGCTCGAAAACACCTGTATATCATGTACGTCATTCCCGTGCCCTAAACACATCTACGACGCCACAATACACACACCACGACTAAGTGCCTTCCTGATTAAAAGAAGTCATTCGGCGAACATAGGCCTTAATATCAGGTTTTTCATACTTTTGCCCCCTGCTTTCGTATTTTCAGCTATGCTACCGACAGATAGGGTGGCAGTGTTTCACTTGAGTCTGTACCTCAGTAGGCTCTGAGGAGTGCCATGACTATTCTGGCCGTGCCACGCGGCATGCGGGATCTTAGTTCCCCAACCAAGGATTGAACCTGTGACCCCTGCAATGGAAGCGTGGGGTCTCAACCACTGGACAGCCAGGGAGGTCCTGCCATGACTATTGTAAACGTTTCCTTTGAACACATTTCTCTCAAAAGAAATCTTTTTTAAATGGGTTGCGCTGATTTCCTTGGATCTCAAGAGAGCAGCAGAGTCTCCTCAGGTTGTCCATACATAAAATGGCAACACTAAGGTCCTAGGCTGTTGAACAAAGCCTGAACATTGAATATAAGCTTTCGCATATGTATACGCTATGTCAAGTGCACAAATCCTGGTAGAGGTGAACGTTTCTCAATACATTTTGTTCTATTCACATGTAATATTTTCACTGGCATCACAGAACACAGAAAAACAGTTTAGACATCGATGAGTGAGCATTTAAAGAAACTTTAAAAAATGAACCTAGTGAAACATGATTTCCTCTTTTCAGCAGGTGCTATAAACATATTATAACTGATCTATCTCTCCCTTTAATCCTCTCACTTCCTTCTCTTCTCCTCCTC